TATATATATATATATATATATATTTATAAATATAAAATTTATTGGATCGGATCTTCTCAGATCAGATAGGGGTCATCCAAATTCGATCTGATTTCTGATCAGATCCTATTATCCAATCCGAAGAACCGAACAGGGGTGATTTGAATTTGACCAAATGGGATCCGATCGGATCATGATTCGATCCATTTGCACCCCTAGTCCTACCAGGTTACCACTACCTACCACCAACCCTATTGCTGGGATTCATTGCTTCTTTCATTTTCTTCCTCCTCTTGATGATGTTATATTCGAGATCCATGTTACCCATTCAATGCTGCAACAAACAAGCCCCAATACCCTCTTGGACGTCATTAACGAGTTCAAATCTGCCCCTATAGAATGTGCCCCAAAAACATCCCACAACACATTCCAATCGTGTATTAGGAATATCTCCCAATGACAAATACGAGAGATGTAGAGATGTTCTCAATGCACATTGAGATATGCGTTTTTAGGGCGCATTCTGTGGGGGCAGATGTGAATTCGTCATTAACCAAGGTTAGGTTTCAAAATTAATTCACATTTTACAATTCATGGGAATTTGAACCCAATCTCCATTCTATTGATCCACTCATTCTGTAAAAACTTTGGCTTTTCCAGGCCATAATGATGCATTTATTTTGTGCCTAGCTGCTATGAAATGAGATAACAGATGTAAGTAATCTTTTAATCCTTGAGGCTATTTTTGCTTTGAAGGAAAAGATAAAGACCTTGTAATGTAAAGGTTTTCCTATCTTTTCTTTCCTTTCCCTATTTTTTCCTTTAAACCAAACACAGCTTGATAAAGAAAAAATAAATAAAGATTAGAATTCAATAAGAGGAAGGAAGATCTGATGCCCTTAATTGAGCAAACAGGGTGTTAATTAAGCTGAAGTACTACAAATAGAGAACAAGAAAGTTGATTGGACCAAAGAGAGAGATACAAAGTATGGGAGAAGGCAGTGGTGAGGCCATTGTGCATTAGCTTCTATAAATGGGATATACAGTCTATGGATGAAGGAGAGTTGAGCAAGGTGAGATTGGTTCTAAAATTAAGAGTATTGTGTCTTCCTCCATTGTGTTTCTCTTTCTAGGAAAAACAATGAGTTACTGAGCTGGGCACCAACAAAACAATAAGAGGCAAACTGGCTGAGAGAAAAGATGAAGCACATATAAGAAGAGATGAACAAATTTAATTACATTAATCTAGGGTATTTTAATAAATTTACATATGAAAAGATGGCATGAAGGATAAATATGGTAGTTTAAAAAGCTTAACAAAGAGAGCTAACTGTATATTTTTGAGGAGGAGATTTTTGTTGGGCTAAAAATCTAGGAGAGGTTTATATGATTGTAAGAAGAGAAAATTTAGGCTAGGGGAGGTTTTAGAAATTTGGCATTGTTAACAAAGGCACCAAAAAAGTTTTGGTCTAAAATCAAAACCCTATATACCTGGGAATCTCTGGCTTGGATAGCGACCAAATGAGTATATGAGCGGTGTCCCATCCAACAGTCCCTGAGGCCCCACAATTACTAGGATCCGATATTGCACAGTCGACATTATTCAAAGAGCGTGCTTGTTCTCTTTCAGCACAAGTCAACTCAACTCCGAACCCTGTTCACTCCAAGATAGTAGATGCAATCAGAAGTTGGTGATCCCTTTTTTTATTTCCTTTTATCTATCCTATTGACTGATCAGTGATGGAAAAGGAATGGGATGAGCTCATCAGCTACACACATTTGCTAGGCGGCTTTACCTTCCTCCTCTCCTCTACATATGCTCACCTTCACGTAGCCACGGTACGGGGCGAGGGCGACCCGACCCATCGGCGCTTCCTTCAACCCAGGGTGAATGTCCCAACGAGAGAGAGAGAGAGAGAGAGAGAGAGAGAGAGGAAGGGAAGAATAATCTAATAAGAGGGTCTAGACTATTTAGACCCAGAAGAAAAGAAAGGGCCACATATGGATATATAGCCGCCCCATTGGAGGAACGGAGGGTAGTGTCGTAGTGGGACGCCAGCATGCAGCATACGGCCTTTTGAGTCTCTCTGACTTCGACTTCCGTTCTTCTTTAACCATAAATACAGAGACAGTGAGACAAAAACCTCCCTTCCAAGTTCCAACTTCTCGCCCTCTCTTCAAAAGCCCAAAACCCACTTCATCTGCAACCAAGTTCTTGGAGAGCGCCGTTTGATTCCCCCTTTTTAATCTTCAAATGGTACAGGTATGTCTCTCCCCTTTTCTTCTCTTTTTTTTTTTTTCTGCCATCATTCTCTTTCCCATTTATTATTAGTTTTCTTGTTTCTGGTTAATGAATCAAGTGAACCAGATTTTGCATTTACTGCTTTTGAACTTTCAGCAAAAGGTGATCCTCAAGCTCCTGACCATGACAGATGCCAGGACGAAGCAGAAAGCTATGGAAGCTGTTGCTGACATCTTCGGTATCTTCTCCTTTCCTTTTCTGTAAAATGAAAGTAAAAAAATAGAATGCACGAATTGGTTGCTTTATGTTGTGAGAACTGAGAACTACCGATACCAATTTTAGTTAGCTTGATGGGTAGTTCTAACATTAAATTCTCTCCATTGTTAGTGCAATTATAGTTGATGGAACACCAGATTACCAAATTAAATAAGTCTTGAAAGAATTACCCTGCTTAGTACAGAACAGATCTCTTGTACAGTTATTACCTGATGATTTCTTCTCAAACTGGGTTGAGACCGTTTGAGAAAGATGGTCTGATTGAGAAATGTATCAATTTCATTGACAGTGTAATTTTTTTTCTCTCTAATCTCTCCTTAATTAGGAATTTTAGTTGTGAGATTTACATTTCTAATTAACTAATACTTAAAACGATTTTATTTAATTGGGTAATTTTTCGAGTGAACAGGGGTAGATGCAATTGCAGCTGATCTGAAGGAGCAGAAGATTACGGTCATAGGAGAAATGGATGTGGTTAAAATCGCCAAAAGATTGAAAAAACTAGGGAAAGTAGAAATAGTATCAGTTGGGCCAGCTAAAGAAGAGAAGAAGGAAGAGAAGAAGGAGGAGAAGAAGGAAGAAAAGAAGGAAGAGAAGAAGGAAGAGAAGAAGGAAGAGAAGAAAGAAGAAAAGAAAGAAGAGAAGAAGGAGGAGAAGAAAGATGACAAGAAATAAAAAGAACCGAGGGAATCATAAATAATTTTTCCTGTAATTGAAGAGATAGAGAGGTGATAATTCTTCTTCTTCATCATCATATTCTTCTTGAATTTTCAATTTTGTGAAAAAAAAGTAATACTCCATTAATTCAATATATTTATTTATTAATGCAAAGGACAGACCAGTGGAACATATTTCTGTCTTTGGTTTGTTTTGTGGTCATTGTCATTCTTAACTGGTTTTGAGGATTTGTTCATCATCACAATATAAAAAGGAGAAGGAAGAGAAATTAAGAGCTAACCAACTTCTCTTCACAAAATTAATTATTTTAACCATAAACAAAAATACCCAGTTACCCACCAAACGCATTAACACAGCTGAAGCAAACAAAACAAACGTTTAGAGGAATGAGTTATCAGATTCTATCAGTCTGGACGCTCCATCGTTGATGCGGTACAGGTCACTCCCCCGTTTGGGACTGCTTATTGTTGTTGTTGATAAATGCTTATTGCATAAGTGATTATTAATAAGTGTTTATTTATTAAAATGACGAATCTAACCCTCATTTAGGAGTATCACACTTGAAAATGTGAAAAATACAAACCTGGATCGAATTTTTGGTTCATTCTAGGTTGGAAGATCCATCCCTCTCCCTCTGCTGCCCCTGCCGCTGCACTTAAGGAGATGATGAAGTGAGGAGTGAAATGGTGGAATGAAAAGAAAACCGTGTTCTTTTCGACCAGGGGTACACTGCTATATTGAAAAAAGGTGGAGACAACTTTGAAAAAAAAAAATCAAATAAGTGCTTTTTGAAAACCGAAGTTTTTGACTTCCTCAAAAATCAAAATAGGTTTATTTTCTGGAATAAACACTTATTTAACATTTTTATCAAAACATACATAAATGCTTATGGTGTGATCCTGACCTAAAAATAAGTGTTTATTAGAATAATTACTTAAAATCTGTTCCACTACTGTCTTTTAGAACATAGCTCTTTGTTTATGGTTGTAAGTTGGAAGGAAAAGCTTTGTAAACCAGCTACACACCTAAATGAACGAGTGGACCGAAGGAGTCGTGATGTAAGGATTATTCGCCTGTTGGATTGGTGCCCCTCGTATTCCAATAATTTACCTTTTAAGGGAAAATTCTCAATTAGTATCTTGTATATTGGGTTAGTGTCACTTTGGTCTATGAACTTTAAAATGCAATAATTCAATACCCAAACTTTTAAAATGTGTCAATCCAATACTTATCTATCATTAATCAGCTGTTAAGTGATATTTGAAAAAGACACAAATGTCCTTTAAATATCATCTAATTTTCCTTATCAATCATTCAAAGGTTAACAAAAAATTAACAATCCCAAATCAACATTCTGGACCTCACTTTTCTTGAATAAAAGAGGCAAGAATTTATGATTGTTAATTTTTTGTCAACATTTAGATGTTATTAAAGAAAATTAGAAAGGTATTTATCTTTTTCAAATGCGATTTAAAGACTGATTAACAAGTGTATTGAATTGACACGTTTTGAAAATTAATTACTGGATTATAGTATTTTACACTAGGCCCAAAGTACGGTTACTAAACGGGAATTTGCTTTGCTCTATTTGTTAGACGTAACACATCAGGTCCGTCAATTGGATATGTGGAAATAATAAACCGAAGAACTGCCTATGAGAAAAGAAAGAGAGGGGATCTGACTGTAGGAGTTGTGGAAATCATTAAATCAATCAAGGCTCAAGGAAGAATCGGCCTCAATCGATCGGGCCACATGCTTTGACCCTTGGCCTTCACTTCCTATGCCGATGCGCTACGCGTGGTAGATAGAGGAGCTCAAGAAGAGAGTAGACAGCCAGAATGGCTGTAATCCATCATCCATGGAGAATAGCCTAAAATTATTTGCATTCAAATCAAACCTTCGAAGAACAGCAATGGAATATGATGGAGAGTGGAATAGAAAACATGGTTTTTCCCATAGACTGGTCTGAGCTGCTCCTGTTCTTCTAAACCCAGAATCGTTTTAAGTAGAAACTTTTTAGAATGGGGATTAATAAAGCAGCAATATGAAAGGATTCTGATACTTTCAGACGACAGACATGAATGCCATCACGGAGCCTTACCTCTTATTTTAATATAAATTCCCCCAACCCCCTAAAAAAATTAAATCAAAATACCATCCACAGGAACTGAAGCTGAAAATGACGACTAATCTTCTCCAGCATCATCTGTTAGTCTGTTATCCTCCAACTTCAAAACAACGCCAACTGCAACTGTAATCGCCACACCGACGACGCATGCAGCATCTTCCATGGTTCCATTCGTATATTTTATATTTGATGTTTCTGGCTTGTTGTGAACTTGTTTTTTTATGTTTCGTTTATATATATAAGCCGAAAGAAACATACAAACACCGTCAGTTTCCACTTCAGTTAGTCCAACTGCAGCGGGTCACCGACGCACACACTACGTCCACCCAAGCTATCCTGTCGATATACGTCATTCAGCACGAGAGTTGATTCAATTCTAATTCCCCACCATTTCTTTCTTTTTTATCAAGAATGCGTCCACTTCTTTCTTTCTTCCCACTGAAGTCACATGCTTTGGCGTGTTTTCCACCTTTTCTAATCCAAACATGAATTGAGGAACAGAACAGTGTATCATGGGTAACTACTACCAGACTGCTGAAAGCCTGTAACCATAACCATTTGATTGGTAACTAATTAGAAATCCCGAGAACCAACCAAAAACCCAAACCGAACCAAATAAACAGCACATGTGCCTACAATAAAAGTAACACGTTTTAGCTTTTAGCTTTAGTAGGACATGCATCCACTGTTAGTCCTCCGAAGAAACTCCAGTCCAGTATGACTCCGTCACGGGGTGCCCACTGCCCTGCCCTCTTCGGTTTTTCAGCCACAATGCGTCTGACCGACCATGTGCAGAGGATCCACATGCACCTTCAATGGACCCATCCCCACAGATTCGCTGCAGCTGCACGGAAACAAAATTGGAATATGCCGATCTCATCTTCTTCATAAGAGATGAACTCTTTAAAAACCTTTTAACATGTATCACTAATCTCAGTGACAAACATGTTATGATGTTGCTTTCTGGGTACATGCAATTGATACATACACAAATATAAAATATAGTTATAAGTAAAAGTAATTTGATTGTTTTCGTAGATGTTAGGACAATTAAGCAGAATGGGCCCATTAGGATGAGGCTTGGTCCCTCGCCATTGGTGTAACAATTTTCAATCCAGACTGTACAATTGAAATTTGGAAGAGAACCTTGAGTCTTAATGGGCCAAAAGTCATTCACACGCGAGCACGAATCGATTAGGTCCAAATCAGTTTTATTTATTTACGGATTTCTAACGTATTCCGTCTGGTATGATTATGGTAGATAGTCTAGATATTCTATAAACAGTCACCTAATAAAGGCGCCTTCCTTTTTGGATTTTGAGAGGGGAAAAGCAGGTCAATAGGATTTTGATTTTCATTGACCAAAAAATCCATGTTATTTTCAGATTTATGTGGGGGTTAGGAAAAGTTTATTTTCCTGGGTACCATTTACCGAGGGAAAAGTCACTAACACTTGAATGGGATAAAAATGACCCTATTAATAATGAATTTTTATGAATAAAATGATCATTGTCTTATTTATCTGGGAAATAAAAGAACATCAGTAAATGTACTTATCGGAATAAGTCTTTCATGGGAAACACTTACCCGGTGCCTTTACCCAGATAAGCAACTTACCAAAAAACCAAACGGGCCTTAAGAGATAAGACTAGAATTTGTAGATTGAATACCATCCTATTCTAAATTGGGATTAGATTGTAAAAGATGGGGCATTCCTGCAAATTGCAAGTTAAAAAGTCCAAGAGTGGATTAGAAAATTTGGGCTACACCGTATTATTGTAACCTGTAATTTAATAACCAATAGTACATTCTCCACATCTGTCAAGAGTCAAGACTAATACCATACTAAACCATTTGTTTTTCCAAATATCGGGTGTAAAAGAATAGGACTGCACAAATCCTGATTGTCAAATTGACTAATTCCTTTTGCTTTATATTTGACTGTCTTGTTTGTAAGAATTAAGGGCCCATTTGGTTTGCATTTGGAATAGGAATAGAATCAGAATGGTCTATTTGGTTCAAACTAGAATTGGAATGGGAATTAGAATCAATTGGAATGGGACTTTATTTCCAAGGGAAGGGGAGGGAATGGCCATTCCCTCAAATGGGGGAATGTCATTCCACCAGGAATGGGAATGAAATTCTAATTCTGCCCAACCAAACAGTTGGAATCGAAATGGCTCATTCCAATTCTCATTCAAGACTTGTATTCCCATGAACCAAGCGGGCCCTAAAATATGAAGTAAAATGATGTAACCCCCAATTTATATGAAACATAAGGGTGCTAAGATAAGGGGTATTTATTTGAGGGGTTCAACTATAAAACCGAAAAAAACATGGATCCAATCAACTGGTATCATAAAAGTGGTAACCAGTCAGGTGGTATTTATCTTCACAACTCTTCTAGTATCATGTCTTTCCGGTAGCATAGATTTTTCTCTTGTTTGGGAGTGGGGTAAGAAGGAAGATGGTGTGATCCACTTTATTGAGAAAGAATTGATGTAGGAAGGTGGTGCAAATTTTGCATCACTTTTTCATATGCAAAATTTACACTGTCAATAAGTGCAAATGGGACAAGTAAATTTTGCACCATATAGAAGTGCTAATCATTACAGAGAAACAGATGCAGAACTGAATCGAATGCATAATTTACACCCATTTCACACAGGTTCAAAGTATCATTTCATATCGGCCTGTATTGGCCGATACATATCGTATCGCAATAACCCCGATACGCCCCTACAGAGGGTGTATCGGGGTTTTAACCAATTCAGGGGGTGGAGGAACCTTAAACCAGCCCCTCAACCGGATTTGAAAAATAAATGTTCCAATACTGCCCGATACACCTCTACCGACATATCGGGCTTATCGATATTTAGAACCTTGGTTTCACATTTGCACTACCAACAAACACAGCTTTAGCAAGTATAAGACGAAACAAAGAAAATAGACGAAGAAACGAGGGTGGTTAAGAAAAGGAGATAATAAACCTTGTCTCAAAGATGACAAGAGATTTGGTATTTTACAGTTTGATAATGTACATCTTGGCATTATTTGTGTACAATCAGATGTGGAAATGAATATAACAAAAAAATATGAATAAAATAGACCAAAAAAGAAAATGTAAAGAGTCAAATAAAGCAATTGGGGGATTGGTTAATGGGATTTTTGGTTCCCATTGATCAAGATATTCATATTCTTTTTTCGGTCCACAAAAATATATTTTCCTTCATTATCTAGATAACTTTCCCATCTGGGGAGAAGTTGATGGGACAAAATTACCCCTTTCAATAATGACTTTTTTATGACTAAAATGATCATTGTCTTATTTATTTGAAAAATAAAAAAATGTGGACAAATACACTTACCCAAATAAATACCCGGGTAAATGCATCTATCCAGATAAATAACTTCCTGAAAAACGAAACCATTTATACTCCACGACAGTGGTCGGCAAAGATACAATACCCTACACCTACAAGCTACAACTTACCAAAACAATGCTACAAAGGGCCTTCTACGTTCTAGCAAATGAAACCATTCAAGCCAAAGCATAGTTTCAGCCTCCCAACTCGCATAAGAGAAAGGTGAGTGACCGAACTAAACATGAAATGATGAAAATGAAATTATCTGCATTATTTTAGTAGGGCCTCTATAATTTCTTGCTTCGTTGAATCAGCTAACGCTGGCCTGAGTCTTGCACAAATGCCTCTGTTTCCGCCCCTGTTCATTGCACTTGCACCATTCATTTAGATTTTAAGCCATCACAAAGTGGCCCTACTCCAGTTCAGCCTCAGCTTTTGTTTTGTTTTCTCCTTCACTTTTCTTTTTCTCACAGTTTTAACAATGACCAGCCCAGATTGTGTTTGACAATTATAATATCTGTTGCATATACAGCATACAATTTACCCTCTCTAGGAACATTTTCCCTGGACTAGTAATTCACTTATTCCCACAGTTCCAGTCCTAAATGTTGAGATGCTTAGCTGTTCTGTCAGTCTTAAGGCTTCTGGTGTATTGGTCAAGCATGTAACATACCTACAAACTACTAGCAACATTCAGATGTCTTCGTCTCTTTGAACCTGACTTGTCCAACCAATTAACTCTAGGTTTTACCCAGTTAAAAAAAATCTACACTTGAACACAAGATGCAAACTACGAAAATGGTTACCATCTCTCAAATTATCAATATTAGCTTTGGACCCAAAAGGATGACAATAAATTCAATCAGAAGCTACACATCCAGTCTTTTGAAGTTTTCTCAGTCACAGGGCACCACAAAGGACATAATTAGCTCAAATGTCAAAAGGATTTGGGGCTAAAATCTACCAGATGGACAGATTCGAGAACACTTTTGGGCCCTATATTGCAACATGGAGGATTCTGGTTCATTTAGACCCCAGCACTGAGAGGTTCCACCAGAATACAGGTTCTCCAAACATAAAGGTGCCTCGTCAATTAGTTGGTCAAGACCAATGAGTAAATTTCATGAATCAATGAAGCCATGCCCCTAGTTCATAAAATCAGCCCAACCTCAAATTGTATAATGTGGGACCAACCCAAACAAGAAGTTTCAGACACTAGATCTTTTCCACTTTGAACTGCTCCAATCTGAAATCAAACAAATCAATCCAATTATACCAGCCAGTATTTCAATTTCCCTCTTGTTTCTTTTTGAGTATCTGTGCAAATTAGGAAATTTGTAAGATTTAAGCATGCAAGGATTACCTTCTTGGTTTTGAAGATAACAGGAGTCCTGTCTTAAGAATTCAAATAAAAACCATTGGACTTGAGACAAATAGAACCATCTTCACAGTCCTGATATAGAGAAAGCCTCAAGATCCAGTGGTTTCACAAACCAATTGCTGAAGGGTGAACTATCTTTAAAAATCTTCAACGAGGATCTATAATCTTGAGATTTTGCCTGCAAGAGAATGTGATACTTCAGAACAATCTATGCATATACTGATGATCAATAAACGTTACCAACTGCTACCTACTGGTTGCATAGATCTTTCGTAGTTTGAGACTATAGTAACCAGGTTTAACCAAATAAGGTGAATGACTTGAATAAAACCCTAGATAAGGATAATGTCAACTAGAACTAACTGCAAAGAATACTACACTGACAGTGCTTGGTTAATAATATTCACAAGAGGCCAGATGTAGTACAAAGTCAGGAAACTCGCTCCCGTGAATTATGTGATAGCTTCCACCTGGTTCTCCCATTAGTTTCTTGAATGAAGATAAATACTTTCATGTTATCATAAAAAGATGTTTTGGCATGCTGCTATAAAACAACTAAAAGATGTCACTTTTTGCTTGCTTTTTTTTTCTAGGACAAAATTATTTAAATGAGTAAAACCACCCTAAAGCCCATATGATTTTGTGCTTTGGGATGATGGCAATTTAGAGCGGTTTAGTGCCACTTCAGTAGGCATATTGTGCTTCTTGTCAAGTTTATATCCTTTAACCCTCTTTTTTCCCTAAATTTGATCACTGAACTCCTCAACTTGGAACCCTAATTCCAGGGCTTGTTCTTTGGGAATTGTAGAATCAGTTTAGAGCCCAAGTCCAGTAACAGAATATTAGCCCATATTCCAACTTTTTGTAGTTAATTTTGTTATTCAAGCACACCATCTTCATGTCATCTCAAGCCTAGTGTGTTAATCTAGTTATAAACCAGCAAAATCCTTCAAATCTCAGAATATTTTAAATCCTAGATGTTGTTTTCTAAAACCTAGCAAATAGGCACTTCATAGTGGTTGCCCTCTATCAACCTTTTGATTTCTAATCTTTGTCCTCAAAATGCAATTTACTGAATTCCTAATTGAGTGTGTTCAAAGGGGAAAATAATAAATTGAATCTGAATATCTTTGCCAAAAAGTATATATGACTTTTTGATAGTAAATTACTATATATTACCTTCAATTCTCGATAAGATACCTCATCAGATTGCAGTTCATCAAAGCATTCTTGTTTCAATGACAAAAAAAGCTGCAATAGTCGCTTCCTAGCATGAGAAAAATGCACAGGATATAATGATGTACTACCAGAAAAGTTCCCATTACCATCCATGCATATCAAGCAAGTGTAATACAACAGATGTAATGCTTTTAAAAGCATGAGGTGTATGCTATGAGGCATGCCATTAGTGAAATTGCCCTAGGGTATGAATCATGGACTCCTTAAGTTGGTACCTTTTAATATACAAAAAAGCATGCTTTTTATTGAGGCAGATTTTTTAATGCCACAACCCTAGGGTAGGCTATGCTATAAAAAGAAAATTGCAAAAGTAAACAATGTTTACCAGTAACAAGCTTCAAGAATGGGTTAAACAATCAACTTTAAGAATGGATTACCATATGACTTCAGTTGCAGTGGATCAACAGCCGTCTTAAGCCTAGGAATGGAAAGAAATAAAACTTAGAAAAGAAACATTCTCCCTCATCAAGCAGAACCTAGGGGATGGAAGATTTTAGGGCTCAAGATTGATGACAACAAAAGGCACCTTCACTACCCAGCATGGACCAGGCATATGACATGAACCAGAAAGAGCTCCCTCCCCCACCCCCACNCACCCCTCTCTCTTCTTCCCCCCCACCATCTTCTGATCTCTGTTCTCTCTGGGGGTGAACTTCCCTCAGAGGAGTTCCAGAGTTAGACCAAACCTAACAGAATTCCTCATCAAAATATAGAGATTCTTGATTCAACTACCCAATTTGAGGGTTGGCACTGATTTTCATGTCCACAGTCCACCCTCTTTGTCTCTGATTTTCTTTTGTCAGTCCATCAGTCCATCCATGTTGACCCACTTGTCATGCTTGATACAATTTTTGTTACTTCTAAAAAATAAATAATTCATTTATCAAAAAAATAGAACTAACCCTATGCAACACCATTTTTTTTCAATTTGCATTCTCTGTTGGGTTTCATCAAATTTACCTTCTCTTATCATTGAATTTCTGTTCAGATTCCCATGTAGCATGAGAGTTTAATTCTAAAACTCAACCCATCCCTTAAAAACACTAGTTCTCCCTCTCAATTTTTTCAGTTACAGGTCCAAATAAGATGTTTCTACTTTTCCATCAATACAAATCAACTTAGCCTTAACCCTTAACCCCAACTGTATATGTTTGGCTACCCGAATCATGTCTTGTTATCATGCTCTACGCATGTTTTCCTTAAACTATAAAACCTTAGATTGTTTATTACCGCTTTAAGTCTTCAACCACATTTTTCTTTGGTCTTTGACTTGCTCTTTTAGAGTCTTTTACTTGTGCCAAGTCACTCCTTAGTTGACCTTTTCCATCATCTAGTCATCAAATGGGGCTACTCATTTCTAATTCCATCCTTTCTAGTTTTTTTTTTTTTTTGATAAGTAAAGAGTCATATTCCATTAATTCAAAGATCGGTTACATGAGAATCCCCTTAGAGAGGCGTGAGGTGCTGCCTCTCCATACAGAAAACACAGAAAACACAAAAACTACATAAAAAAAAGACTGTTACAAAAGACACAAATTACAGTTGCGCCCAGAACAATGTTTCCCTGTTTATCCCTTGTTTTGCCAAGACATCAGCAAAAGCATTAGCTGATCTCCCACCCCACTGTACTGTTACAGAAATATTCCTTGTTAGCCATTTGAATTTCTTTATCTCATTCTTAGTCCCACGTGATCCCCTAACCCACCGATCTCCATCCTTTATAGTATTGCCATTCATCCATCTCAGCTACATTCATTTTTGAACATGTTTCTTGATTGACTAACACTTCATCCCGTATAATAATAATGGTCTTATAGCTGATGTCTTGTAAAATTTTTCTTTTAGTATCGTTAGTATGCACCAGTCATACAGAACATCAAATGCAAGCCTGCACTTGTTATGGGAATTGCTTCTGCTGAGAACACTAAATTACAGCTGCTGCTGCCGGCGCCCACATCAGCACTTCAATCACCCTGCTCTAATTCCGACTAACATCCTCTTCAATTCTACATTATAGATGATTGACCCAAGATACTGGAAGTCATTAGTTTGGGGTTTCTCTTTATCATCAAATTTAATTATACCACCATTGTTACTACTATTTTCACTTAAATTGCAAGATATGTATTGTTACTCCAACTTGAAACCTTTTTTACCAAGTCATTTCTCCATTTTTCTAGCTTTGCAGTTATCTCATCTTTAATATTAGCAATCAATATTATATCATCAGAAAACAATATAACATCATGGGACCTCCTGTAAATTTCTGTCTAAAATGATTCCTAAAACCTTATACTTGAATTCCCTAACTTGTCTTGCATCAGAGCACCTCACCTCATAACTCACTGTTTGAAAGCATTGACAGACATGCATATGTGATACATACAAACTCAATGGAATATCTTAGATAAAGTTTGTTAAAGTACTTGCATAAAGATGACTCAGTAGAGGGGTACAATGCCCCCTTTGCAGAGGTGCCTTGCTTTCTGCCAGTGGTTCCAAGTATAACTTCATGCAAACCAGATTTATTCCAGCAGATAGAATACCTGGGTACAAAGCATAAAGTTTGCTTTTGTCAAGTAAATGATTTGTAATACAGTAATTGCATAGGTATAAATGAATCATCTAAACCTACCCACAAGTCAAAGTTGTTGCAGCAGTGTCTGATTGCTGAAACTCATTTAGCGGTATAGGAGCCTCCCAGAACAACGGCTGCAAACAGTGTAATAGTAGTTTTATCAAAATGCTAGTTTACCATGTTGATTGAGACATTATACTTTTACACACATTACAAACCTTGTTCACTTGAAATGGAGGCATTATCTCTGTAGATAGTTGAAGGATGCGATCACAAAGTGCTCGTTTCAAATGAATTTTTAGTGGAAATTCTTCAGAAGCATTGCTAGGAGGCCGCCCAACAGTAATGGAAGATAGATAGACTGGCTGAAGAAAGAAGGAAAGTAAAGATCCTGCAAAAAGGGAGGGGTGAGAGAGAGTAATACAAGAGCAACCTAAAACAGCACCAATCTTAGTGGAAAAAAATAATGTAGCAACAGCACAAATTAATAATCAAACTTGGCATTAATTGGTTCTTTTAAATAAAGTCATCAGAACTTGTTTTGAGTTCAAACTTGGCATTAATCGGTTCTTCCAAATAAAGTCATCAGAACTTGCTTTGAGTTCATAAGCATTTGTTCAAAGATGCTTTAGATCTATGAAAATGCTTATTTGCTGTTAAGATCAGCTCTGACACACACATACACACACAAGTCCATGTTGAGGTCTTAAAATTCTTAATCCCTAAAAAAATGATCTCCGGTGAGCCCACTGACTGAAGCTTCGAAAACCTTCTACTTTCTAATATTGTTCATTCATTCATCCTAATAAAAGATATTTTTAAAAGATAATTAAAATTATAAAATCGTTTTTTTAGGGTTAAGAATTTTAAGACCCTAGCATGGACTTGTTTGGGCTTGCCTCAAGGGACTTGGTAGTTGGTACAAAGGCAGCTTGTAGAATTAGGAATGAAAGATGTAGCATCACATTAACTATTTTAAATAATGAAATTGAGAAATAAAAAAAGAAGTTAAAAGTTAGACATGCTTGAATATGTTTTGCATGCTATTTTTATTTTAGTTTTGCATTTTTCACTTTGAATATGTTTTATGTATTATGTTTATGTAATTAAATTTGAGCTAATAGACTTTTTTAAACATTTAGTTTAGAATTAGTTTGATTTTTTAATTAATATTATTTTTAGTATTTTCTTAATCTATTTTGAATTTTTTACATTTTGTTTTGCAATTTTTTTATTTTTTTTTTAATTTTGTGTGTTGCTTCAAAAAGGCATGCGCCTCGCCTTGTGCCTTGCACCTCGGGCACAGAATGGCCTTTGCGCTTTTTTTGTGCCTTGCGCTTTTAAAACAATGGTTGTTCCTATCTTGTTCTGGCACATTTTTTTTCCTTTACAACCGAACAGTACAGCTTTACATTAAGAGAATCTTGAACTGGTTGGCCGCATGGTCATGGCTCATTATAAGTATCTTTGACTTCATACAATTACCAATCAAATAAAAAGTTAATCAACATGCAATCCTTACACCTCCTACAACCATTGGGTAACAGCTAGTCTTGGTATGTTTAGAGATATCATTATTGCAAACCATGTAACAGACCCACCCTTGACCCAACTCAGATAGGAGCAGGTCATGGTTCCAACCATCCAGTTCAATCCAGGTACTACAACACTATTATGGCCCTAATCTGTACTAGTTCATTTCATAAGTTAGTATAAAAGAATAAAAATAACAGGTCAATACACCTTTTTCATGCATATTCGATAAGAAAATAAATTAAGCATGTAAAGTTCGGACTCACAATAGATGAATTATGTGCCATTCAGTTTGATCAAAAAATTATGCATCAGTAAATTGTTCAACCATAGTTTCAGAGCTCTTCCAAGCCTTTGCAATTCTTCTGGTCCCTCTTTTACACTATTCTTTCTTGACCTTCAGTGCCTGTTTGGGAGGGGCTTTCATGAAACAGCTTCTAGCTTTGCAAGGTGGGCCCCATTTGGAAAGCCTATAAGCCATGTTTGTTGAAAACCCTGGAGAGCCCAAAATGATTGTTTGAAAACCAAAAACACGGATTTTCTGCTTAAGCTTCTTTTAGTGGCTTCTCCAAAGCAGCTCAGTGAAAGTAGACCAACCAATACTGAAGCCCTCCCAAATAGGTCCTCAGTTTCCTTGGGTTGTGGTTCATTAATGCATATGGAAGGAAAGAAACTACAGAATTTTTTAAGGGATGAAAGGCCTCTAACTTCCATATTTGAACTTGGAAGCAGTTTTATGGATACGATTTTGGTTTGAAACTTGAAAGATGTATAATTTCAGTCAGAAACGATTATTTATTAAACTAGCAATATGTTTTGGGTGTAGAGGGGCCATTTCTTGGTACAGTTCTTGGGCTCAGAAATTTGAGATCATGGGTTCAAGTCTGAGAATGAACACTTGATGCAAAAATTGGTAGGTCCCAACCAAGACAACAGGTATTTGAGAACAGCATTGGGCAATGGCGCTTTTAGGATAGTACATTGTGCAGGTATTTTTGGGCTTTGCATCCCTTTGTCTTTATATATATCTTTAAGCATGATTTTCTGGAACCTTTTTGCTTGACTATTAAATAAGCAGGTAACAGACCTTGAATCCCCACAACATTCCAACGTGCTATTTTATCAGAGCAGCTCACTGACAATGTTGTATCACCACGACCAGGCTTCCTCTGGACCATGCCAATGACTTGCATATGACCTTTTAAAAAAATTCAAAATGCAGACTTCATTTAAGCAAATCAAAACTAGTATTGAATCTATTTAGTTTTCCATTTATTTAAAGTAGAATGGAAGCCAAATATGTATAAGTATGGTATAAAAAGAAAGTAATAGAGGTATCTACTAGAAAATAATGAACAATATCAATTTCATAAACATCACATAGCAATAGGAACAAATTTACACAGCCAACTTAGGAAAATAGGTAGAACTTCACATGCTTCGTTCACTTGGTTGCCAAGGTCTGCAAATTCTCTAGCTGATTTATGTGTGAGAGAGAAAGTACAAACAAACAGGACATGTATTTAGGATCATAACCCCTGAGCTAGTGGGATAAGGCGATTAAAGGGACTAAGAATGACTTTAAGATGAGCAACCAAGGGGGTGGCTCTTCTTTTCTGTTTCTTTAAGATAGACGAAAGCCTATTTTCTACTTGCACCTTGCCTCTCATTCTTTTCTTAATAAAGTTGTTATCAGTTACTGTCTTACCAAAAAAGAAAAAGAGAAGATTACTGGATTTAAAAACATTAAGAAATAGATATCAAAGCAACCTGAAAAAAAAAATGGAGAGAGAGACCTTATGCTCAAGCATGAAGTGAGAACCCAAACCGAGATAGCATCAGAGTCTTAACTAGTAATAGAAATAGATAGTATAAAGAACTACCGAAGGTATGTGCACATTTTACTAGGGACATTCACACCAAATTTTGGTGTGGGTATGCATCACTCTGATCCTCTTCCAGACATTGACGTGGAGCAAAAGGACAAGTATATTGGTGCTTAGCACCCTCAGAATGAGAAGGAAAATTTTGGGTTCCAACACTGAGGGGAGAGTTGAGAATTTGTGAAGTTAAACTTTTAGCCAGCTCAATTAAATGAATTCTACACCAAGGTCCAAAACAAAAACAGGTGCTTGCAGAAATGTCTTTCAAATTGGTGTATTTTCCTGTGGGCATAATTTGGGTGACAGAATTAAAAAATTTTGTTTCTTCTTGTTAGAATAGCTAGTTTATGTAATTAGAATTAAATAGTTTCTGTACTGTAAGTGCCACAAGGACATAAGAGTCTTTTTAACTGTTTTAATTCTCACCCTATACATATTAACAGATTCTGGTGCTGCAAGAACTGATTCAACCTCCCAACCTTTTCTCTTCTCTTCTCCATTCTCTCTTCTCTCTCCTCTCTTCTTTTTTCATATTTCTACTACTTTTTATTACTAATGTGGTATCAGAGCAAGATTACTGAGCTTGAGAGCAGATCAAACAACTTCTTTCTCCTTCATCTTGCTGTCTTCTCCAGATTGAGATCAAAAGAACAAACCTACAACCGATACAGCAGTTCCCTTCCTCTTGGTCGTGTACCAAGGAAAAAAATCTATGAACTAAGGCGGCTGAATGCTGGAGAAAGTATTGTGAATTTTCAAATCACTTTTCTGTGGATCGTGGGATCTTTGTACCTGAGAATGGGATTTTTGTAGGTCACAGGTGACCTGTTTTTGACATTTTTTGGTGTGACAGCACTGTTTGTGGTCTCTCCTGGTGGTTGGTGTGATTAAATGGTATGAAAGTGTGGTGGACTGTGACTGTTGAGTCTGTTCAGCCCTGAAATCAACCTGGAATTTTTTTTTTTTTTTGAGAAATTATGGCTGGTTTCTGTCCAGACTGTAGTGTGTGCATGTGGGCTGCAGTTCTAGGGTGTTTCTAGGACTGATCTGTGTCAGGAGGGATCCGTGGGTGTGTGTTTAAAGCTGAATAGTGAGCTGAATCATGTCCTTCGAAAATTCTGCAACTTCTGGGATTTCTGTTGGTCAAAACAGAATGATTGGGGGGCTGGATATGAGTTTCCCTATGGCTGTAATTCCCTTTGATGGACTAAATTACCTTGAATGGTCTAGGGGAATTAAGCTCTACATTACTGCTAGGGGGAAAATAGGGTATATCAGTGGTAAAGTGAAGGAACCAAATACTAGAAGTGCTGAACATAACAGGTGGATCAAGAGAATAGTATGGTGATGTCATGGCTCTTGGTTTCCATGCTACCACAAGTGCAAAAGACTTTTATGTGGGCTGAAATAGCTTGTAAAATATGGGAACAAACAAAATCTACCTATTCAAAGCAGAGGCAATATGCAAAGATATACTAATTGCAAGTTGAATCATCCACTTGTAAGTAGGGAGAGAGGAGTCTCTCGGTATATTACTCAGATCTGACATCAATCTAGAAAGAGTTGGACCACTATCAGAGTGTGAATTGGAAATGTGATGAATATGCAAAAGCTTACAAGTCCCTTGCCTCCCAGCAATGGATATTTACCTTTCTCTTGGGACTGAATCCTATATATGAATCTATCAGATTACAAATCTTGAAAGTGTGATGAATTGTTCAGAGGGGGAACCAGTTGCCCTAGTAGTCAAGGGAGGTACAGGTAGAAATGAAGGGGAGTTCTTTTAAGAAGGGTGACTTCTAAAAGAGAGTGGATGACAAAGATAAACTTTGGTGTACTCACTATCAAAAGTCCAGACACACTAGAGACACATGTTGGGATATTCATGGGAAGCCCAAATGGGCTCAAGAATTGAGTAAAAAATCAGCATCTCACCAAAGTAAGAAGCCGGTACAGCAGAATCAGAAGAAATATAACTCAACAAATGTGGCCTCTCAAGAGACTTGTCCCATGGTATCTTAGGACTGTCCCTCTGGTTCTGATCCCAAGGAAGAGATTATCGGTTCTTTTTGGAGTTATATGATAGGACACTTCACCAAGTGGATTCTAGCCCTACTCCGGCATTTGAGTCTACATTAGGTAACTCTGCCATTGCCTCCCATGTGTCATCTCATACATCTGAATCCTCTTGGATAATTGACTCTGGAGCTTCAAATCACATGACTGGTAAGTCAAATTTATTTTAGGCATATAACCTCCTCTCTAGGAGAGGTAAGGTGAGACTGGCTGGTGGCTCATTCTCTACCATAGCCGGTCAAGGAACTATCATCCCTTCCCTATGGCTTTACCCTCTCTAATGTGTTGCATGTTCCAAAATTACCTATCAATTTACTTTCCATCAATAGCATTACTCAATCCTTGGATTGCTCAACAACCTTTTTCCTTCTTCTTGCATGTTCTAGGATTTGACCTCTAGGAGGACAATTGGTAGAGGAAGTATGGTGGGCGGCCTCTACGTGTTGGAGAATAAAGTTGGTCTTGTGGCTACAAAGTCTTTGAGTTTGTCCAATGAGAGTAAATCCCACTTATGGGATAGTTGTCCTGGTCACCTTTCTCTTGAGTCATTAAAGGTTGTGTTTCCAGAGTTAAGTCTTTGTCATTAAATGAGTTGCAGTGCTAAATGTGTCAATTGAGTAAACATTGTCGAAGTTCTTTTCCTTTGAGAAATAAAAGATTTGAATTTCCTTTTCACATTGTTTATTCAGATGTTTTGTGCCCTGTTACTCTACCTTCTAAAATTGGCTATAAGTATTTCATTACTTTGATTGATGACTACTCTAGATAATATCTGGATTTATCCCATGCAATCTAGAGAAGAAGTGCCAAAGATTGTGAAAGATTTTCAATGCATGATTTTTACTCAATTCCGGACTGAGATTCATATTTTCCAATTGGACAACACAAAAGAATATTTTCATAGTGATCTCACGGAGTTCTTGGCTTCATGTGGATCCCTTCACTGAAGCTCCTATGGTAAGACACCTCAATAAAAAGATGTTGTTGAGAGAAAATATCGTCATCTTCTTGAAGTTGTTCGTGGATTATTATTACATATGAATGTTCTGAAACGTTGGATGAATGTTTTTATGTGTGTTGCATATTATCAATTGTATCCCATCTCAGTTGTTAGATTATAAGACCCAACATCAACTTTTGTTTCCTAAGGCCCCTTGTTCTCTAATCCAATGTGTGTCTTTAGGTGTCGTTGCTTCATTCATGACTTGTCTCCTACTCGTGGTAAGCTTGACCCTCGTGCAATCCCTTGTGTTTTTCTAGGTTACCCTTTGTCTCAAAAGGGTTATCGGTGCTATGATCCTACTTATCGCAAGTACTATGTCTCCATGGTTGTATCCTTTTTAGAGAGTGAAACATTTTCTCTCTGTTTTTCCTCAAGGGGAGAGTAGGGTTGAAGAGAAACACACTTAGGTTCAACTAGGAATGGCAATTTTCCCCATTTCCCCGACCCCCGTGGGGATCCACCCCGAATGGGGCAGGGATGGGGATGATTTTCCCCCCGCAGGGACGGGGATGGGGAGAGCACTCCCCGCCCCATGGGATCCCCACTAATATATATGTATATATGTATGCTTATGTTATATATGTATATATGTACACATACATCTATATATTAATATTTTTAAAAATATGGTTGAATATGTTTGAATCTTTTCTAATAAGATTGTAAATTTTAATTATTTTATTTTTATTTTTTTAAATAAAATAAAAAACAAAAACAAAATGGTTAGCATTATAAAAAATCGCGGGGAATGGGGATCCTCACAGGGATGGGGATCCCCGTGGGGACGGGGATGGGGATAACCTTGTCCCCATTAGAGGGGACGAGGACGGGGACGGAGACGGGGATGGGGACGGGGACGGGGATGGGGATTTTCACGGGGACGGGGATGGGAATTTTTGCGGGGATGGGCTCCCCATCCCCGCCCCGCCCGTTACCATTCCTAGGTTCAACTACCTCCTCTTCCTTATCCTTCTCCATTTCGTGTTTTTCTCTGTCACCACAGGGGCCAACAAAGTTCAAGAGTTGTGGAACCTATAACTATGCTACAGACATTGATGTATCCTTTTTTGATATGCATGATCCTCTTGATATTGATCCTCTTACTATTGATGATCTTGATGTTCCTATTTCTAAGAGAGGGTGTTAGATCTTATACTACTAATCATCCTATCTCTCACTGTGTCTTATGATCATATTTCACCTTCATATCATGCTTTCCTTTCCTCCATTGACAGCATTTTTGTTCCTAAAAATGTGGCAGAAGCTTTATCCATACCAAAATGAACAGATGCAATGAAGAAAAAAATCAATGCCTTGCACGAGAATGGAACTTGGGTGTTGGTAGATCTTCTTGAAGGAAAAAAAAAAAAAAACCTAGTGGGATGCAAGTGGGTGTTCATAGTAAAGCCTAGGGCTGATGGTATAGTAGAAAAGTACAAAGCCAGATTGGTGGCAAAAGGGTTTATATAGGTGTATGGAGTGGACTATGCAGAGACCTTTACCCCAGTAACCAAGATGAACTCCATCAGAATCCTCCTCTCATTGGCAACTAATCTTGACTAGGAACTTCACCAACTAAACATCAAAAATGCATTCTTGAATGGTGATCTAGAGGAGGTGTACATTACTCAGCCTCCGGGGTTTTGTGCCAAAGTGATGGAGGCCCATCCCAAGGCCCACCTCACTCCTAGGGGCGGCAGCTCCTAGGATAAGGCCAAGAGTCCAAGATAAGCCAAGGAAGGATAATTCAAGATCCATCAAGACTCTTCCAAGACTCCAAGACTTATCAAGAATCCAAGCTTATCAAGACTCTTCCAAGATAATTCAAGAATTCAAGATTATCCCAAGATAATTCAAGAATTCAAGAATTATCAAAATTCAAGAATTCAAGATCCATCAAGAATTCAAGAATTCTAGATAATCCAAGATTCATGCAKGGAKAAGATCAAGGGAGATCGGACGGGGGAGATCAAGTCAAGAAGAGTTCGATCCTATCTGCAAGTTTGAGATGTTTAGATCAAATCTAATTTCTTTTCCTAGTTCTTTTATAATTTCTCAATGTATTATAAATACTGCTATTTCCCAGAATTATGAATCAATTTCATACTTCAGATTTCAGAATTTCTTCAAGTTCTCTTCTTCCTATTTTCGCCACCTTTTCTCTCTCCTAGAGAAATCGTGTTATTCGCTAGGTGCTAGCGAACGCCCGGTGCTTGCATAGCCAGCTCCGGTTCTCATTGCTTACACGCTACGTCACAAAGGTAGTGAGTAGAAAGTGTGCAAGTTAACAAAAAAAAAATCATTATATGGGTTGAAACAGCCATCTCAAGCCTAGTTTAGTAAGTTTCACTTGGTTGTACAACAGATGGGGTTTAAACAATGTCAGTCAGATCATACTCTACTTGTAAAGAAGGGTGAAGGGAAAATTGTAGCTCTAATAGTGTATGTTGATGACATAGTGGTCCCAAGGGATTACAAAACTAAAATATAGAAGTTGAAGAAATTCTTACCCACTCAGTTCAAAGTGAAAGATTTGGGTCCCTTACATTATTTCCTTGGAATTGAAGTTGCCCACTCTCGAAAGGGCATCTTTATTTCTCAAAGGAAATACGTCCTAGATCTATTAAAAGACACAAGCAAGTTAGGAGTGAAGCCAATTGATTCACTCATTGACCCTAATCATCAGTTGGGTAACAGTCAGGGGGAGGCTATAAAAGATGTGACTAAGTTCCGAAGACTTGTAGGGAAACTCTTATGTATGTCCATGACTAGACCTGACATTGCTTATGTTATGGGTGTCCTTAGTCAGTTTATGCATAACCCTAAGACCACCCACTTTGAAGCTGCAAAAAGAATTCTTAGATACCTCAAGAAGTTCCTAGGAGCTGATGTGTTATTCTAGAAGCATGGGCATTTGAAAGTTGAAGTGTATACAAATGTTGGCTAGGCTGGGGTAGTTGATGATAGAAAGTCTACTAGTCGGTATTGCACTTTCGTGGCAGGAAACTTAGTCATCTCGAGAAGTAAGAAGCAAAGTGTGGTAGCTAGGTCGAATGCTAAAGTAGAATACAGAGCTACGTCTCATGGAGTTGTTGAAATCATGTGGATAAAGAGCATGTTAGGTGAACTGGGCTTTGCAATTAACAGTCCTATGTCACTCTATTGTGACAACAAAGCTGCTATCAACATGGCAACCAACCCAGTCCTCTATGATAGAACAAAACATATTGAAGTAGACAAGCATTTTATTAGGGAAAAACTTGTGAGTGGAGAAGTATGCACTCCCTATGTCAGCTCAAAAGAACAACTTGAAGATATCTTCACCAAGGGTCACCATCACTTGCAGCACAACGATTTGTGTGACAAGTTGGGCATGATTGACATCTATGTCCCAACTTTAGGGGGAGTGTTAGAATAGCTAGTTTAAGTAGTTTATGTATTGTAAGTGTCACAAGGGCATAAGAGTCTTTTTGCCTTGTTTAATTGTCACCCTATATACTAATAGATTCTAGTGCTGCAAGAACTGATTCAACCTCCCAACCTTTTCTCTTCTCTTCTTCCTCTCTTCTCTCTCTCTACTCTCTTCTTCTTTTATATTTCTACTACTTTTTATTGCTAATACTTCTCTTTCTTCTCCTTTCAGGTGGCTTGTCTTCCATGGGTATGGATGCACAGGATATCAGCCCCTTGTCTCATCTAAGGTCACACATTATAAGCTAAAATCCAACTTATCATTCAGAAACTGAGAACCCAATAATTAAACGAGTATGTGATAGTAATGTGTATTCAAATTACAAGTTTTTATTCATGTTCTATAAAATCCTAAGCTAATACTTTGTTATATATACCATACTGCATGCTAAAGCATCTATCAATTGCATTAAGAATCCATAAAAAATAAATTTAAATAGCCAAGTCATATTGCATACTACAAAACTTAAATCTTCAAAAGCAGGACTTGTTGCATTCATGACAATAACCTTCTCCCCAACCAAAAGCCTTCCAGATTTCTTTTTGGACCCTTAAATCTTCAAGATGTGTTCGTTTAGTGGTCCTATGTCATTGATAAAATAATCTCACAAATCACAACTTCATACTCCAAATAAGCATATCTATTATGATACACAAACAGTTTTAAATCCTCCATTACCATTATTCTTGATTGATGTTTCAAAACATTCATCCACAAAACCATTAGGTTTGCTCATATACATTTGTGAGCTCTCTTTCTTTAGGATAAGATCTCTTGACAAAGCCAGTGGTGAAGTAGTCGAGGCATCCCCACCTACAAGACACAAAGGAAGGATGACATGATAGCGGTACATATGAACACTTTTTAAGATAAACCATTAGGATCTCTCATGCAAGAACAGAGACAGTAATTTCAGAATTTTCTTATGCCAATTAGACTCACAGGGCAACTGTGAAATGTATAAGTGCAACTGCCAACCCGGTCTCATTGAGTACTTTCCTTGGTAAGGACCATTTGCCTCCAAACGAAAAAGAAAGTCCATTGCATCATTTTCTCCTTCATAATGCCCATACTTATTATAAACTTCATTAAGATTCGCAATCTCTGTATAGAAAAACCTATCATCACCAGGATTAAACATTTTTGTACGTTAATAGGTGCATAATTTTCCTTCAAGTGCGCATTACATCTTATCATTTCAAATTTAGCACTGAATAAAGTTTAGACCATTGAATTTGTTAAAAGGTAATACCATAAAAGGTGAGACTAAAAACGTCAAGAAGAAAAAGAAAATTTGACAATTACATAGCTGAGAGGTTCCAAGAAAAGATCTGCATAACATATAGCAGCAGAAGATAAAAGGACGCAAAAGATGAACAAGGAGGCCTTTAGTGAAAACCTCAATAGTGCTCTTCGTGCAATAATTTCTGCATGGGAGTCGTTTACAACATCTCCGTGTGGACTCAGGAGTGAGCATCCGAGACATTTAGTTCCAGTCCCCAAAGCAACAACTCGCAAATCTGAAAGACCAGAAAGGCATCAGACCGAACCACCGAAAAGCAACAAATTGTCTCTAGTCATAAACGTAGGATATGGGAACAACCAAACAAATTCCAATTTAGTTCCAGTACAACAATCATATTCAAAGCCTTCTCGAGAACATATTATGATTCTCTATGTTACCAACAACCAAACTTCCGCATTGATCAAATAAATGACTTAAAAAAAAACACGGGATGGAAAAAAAAAGGGGGAAATTTAGTACACAGTTTTTAAAAGGAATAAAAAGTAAAAACATAGGGCTTGTGTGGACAGAAAGTAATACCTTGGGAAGGAGAAGAGACGAGGAATGCAGCCAAAACGGTGGTTTCTCGGCCTTGAGGCTTTCCTTTCTTTGGGAGAGAATTATAAACCGAAAAAACCGCCTCCGAAACCTTCTCTCCCCAGTACTCTCCCGAACGATACAGCAGTTCAGGATCAGAGCAGGAATCCATGCTTATTCAGAGTCTCAGAGACGCCGGAGGGGTCCGGATGTACTAGGCACGTTTGATAAGCACAATGACTCAGGCACACAACGAGTGAACACGTAATAGCTGTGTTACACATGTCTCTAATGCACTCTAAATCCAAACATTATGGAGACAGAATTTATCCATTATTTTATTATTTTTGTTAAAATAATTAAAAATAAAAAACAATAAAAAGGGAAAACGTAAATGAATTCCAACTCCGATACGTTTAGATTTTCCTTTTTCATTGTTTTATTTTTAATTATTTTGGTAAATATAATAAAATAATAAATAATTTCTACTTAACAGAGCAAAAACGTTTTGATAAAAAGTGCATTAAGTGGGACATGTATCATACAACTATTACGTGTTCACTCATTGTGCTTACCTAACATCCCTACTACATCCCGATACACGCCTAGAGGGCATTGAATCACGGTATAATTTTTTGGACTAGTTTATTCTGTTATTTAGAGGGACTAGTAATTAAGCACATAGAACGTGAAGAATTTTTCTTCATATTAATTACTTGAATTTTAGATATATCATAGTTAAGATAGTATTTGAAAATTAACAAACGTAACAATATGATTAAAAATAAATTTAAATATTTATTATTCAATTATGACATCATGGGTTTCGTTGAAAAGTTGAATCACTAACCCACCATCTAAATAAGAATAGCTTTGCTTTTTGATTAGTTTTAAATTAGGGAAAATTATAGTCAGAGCCGATTGTACATTTAAAATTAGGCAATAAGTTGGTCCATAAACCAACAAAACTCTGACAACCGGCTCTATATTTCATATTATAAAAACCCTCGCCATGTCATCAGAGGCTTATGTGGTTATTGCCAACATGGGAATCTTAATTATTGGACTCGACTTGGGCCTAAAATATTGGGCTCAACTTTTTTTTTAGGCCACGCTTGGGCTTTCATTATTCTTTTAGGTTTTGAGGTCTTTTAATATAAATAAATTAATTTTTAATTGAATTAAAAAGGAAAAAAAATATTTTTTCCAAATTTCTAGCTGGGCTCGGGCTCAAGCCCAGGCTTCGGGCTTTATATGAGGGTCAGGCTTGGGCTCAAGACCTAGGCCCGATGAACATATTTTGTTAATGTAGAGGCAAAGCCCAACCCATGAACATGTTTACTCTTAATCCATGTTGGAAACAACAAAAAGCTTATACCGAAATTGCCTTTTAATGTTGAGCGATTGAAAAATATGAGGGTTAGGCTTGGGCTCTCTCTCTCTCTCTTTCTTAGTCTCCCTCACACTCTCTCACTCATAGTCATCTTTATATATGTATATATATATATATATATATATATATATTAAATATGTGTATATATATTATATTTATTAATATTATTTACATTTTGATTTCCTTTACTTTAAATATATACCTTTTTGAAAACAAACTTTTAATTAAAAAATTTGGGGATTTAGGTCCCCGATGGGCCTCGTGTAATGGATGGGAAAAAGGTGTTAGGGTTTATTGATCTTAAAGTTTATTGTTCTATGGTGCTACACAACCCAAGGGTAGGGATGACAATTTTTCCCATCTCCATCGAGTCTCTGGCATCCCTGGCTAGGTGGGGATGGGATTAATAGGAATACTTGATTGGGGAGCAGGGTGGGGATTGGGAGTGAAGTCCACATCTCGCTCCGACCTCGATTATATATATTAAATATATAATATTATTTATAATATACATCAAAATAAAATATTATTTGAATTTAAATATTCTTTTGTTTTAAATAAATACCTTTATGAAAATAAACTTTTAATTAAAAATTTGGGGATTTAGGTCTCCGATGGAGAACTCATCTCCATAGGGGATCGGTGATGTAAGCTAAAATTTTCAGACAGGGACTGGGGTCAGAGATGAGTCTAACTAGAGTCTAAATTTTATGAAAACAAACTTTTAATTAAAAATTTGGGGATTTAGGTCCCCGATGGGAAACTCATGTCCATGGGGGATCGGTGATGTAAAACTTTTTCTGACAGGGTTGGAGTCAGATGAGTCTAGTAGAGTCTTTTTCTTCGGTGTGAACTACACATTGATTTTTTTTATAAGAATAAAATTGGTGTTTGCATATTGATTTTTTTTGCTAGGAAAACAAACCAAATATTAACAAAAAAATAGAAGTAAACTATACAATACTTTAGGAGGGCTGTTCCAAAAAGATCTTATACACGACTGATATTGGATTTCTTTACCTATGGTATGAGCAGCCCTATTTGAGTTCCTTGGAATATAGCAAAATTTATATTTACAACAAGATGTTGATGAGTTTGGATATCTTCAATTCAATTAAACATAGTCAAAGGAAGAGGGAGTCAAGATTCAAAAAATTTATAATATTCTTGTCATCAGATAGGACCAAAATAGAGGTGGAGGCATTAGGTTTAGCCACTTCCAAGGCTGTCCTGACTGCAAAACGCTTTGCTTCCACAGAATTACATGAACCAATAAGTTTATCACATGCAATCAAGGATCAAAGTATCGGTATCAGGTATTATATTAAACAAGTCGGATATGGATATATTTTGGAAACGTATGGATACAAATAAAAGATATAGAAATGCTTAGATATGCTAGGGAAATGCATGCAAATCAAATAAATACATTAATAATATTAACCAAAAGCTGAATTATCTGTGAATAATATATAATTAAACACATAAGAAATGCATACTTCAATAGGTTACATGAAGAGAAATATTACAATAAACAATACCAGGACTCTAGAACATTCAAACATCATACAATAATTATCACTCTTTCAATTTTTACAATTATAATTTTCAATTTGTATTAAATTTTAGGAATATTTATTAATTTAGTATTTTTATTTAAATAAAAACTCTTTTTTAAATAATAAATATGTTTTCATTTTTAACATATAATACTTTTATTTTACATATAATTGTAAAATAAAACAAATAAATCATTTAAGGAGATAAAATAAATTATTTATAATTTCCAGTTTTTATTAAATTTTTTGGGGAAATTAAATTTTAAATTATTCATTTCAGTTTTATATAATTTTCCGTTTTCCATCAATTTTGTTGGGAAAATTTATTTATTTAGTATTTTTATATGATAACTCTATTATTTCAAATAATAACTATGCTTTCATTTTTAACATATAATCATGTGGAAATAAAATATATAAATCATCTAAGTTAGATGAAATATATTATTTTTATAATTTTTAGTTTTTATTAATTTTTTTTGGAAAATTTAAATCTTAAATTATTTATTTCAGTTTCTATAATACTATTTTTTTTTATTTTTATTAAATATGAAATAATAGAGTCATCACCTCTATATCGATGTGTATCAGACCATATACATTGATATTGTGCAATACGGCCCAATACGGAGGCGTATCATGCCGATATGCATGACTTACGGGATATGTCTCTAGTCGTGATGTATCCTGTATCCATGACCATGGATATGGATACAATATGCCCCATATTGAGAGTATCGTATTGATACCTTAATCCTTGCCTGCAACAAGAATAAAAGACTTTGAGCTATCAAAGGCACATAAACCACAAGAGATACCCCACCATTTGAATTGTTCTACGATCACATTTTATGATAACTTGGAAATTCTCCAGGGGAGTTTTCATATTGATTGAGCTTCCATTTTACCAATTATAATAGGGTCAAGAGTCGTGAGAGTGACTTGCCTTTTTTTCAAACTATTTAAGACTCAAAAGGATTATGATTATGTAGGGTCTGTTTGGTTTATGAGAATATAAGTTTGGAATCAAAATCGGAATGGTCTATTCTGATTTCAATTGTTTAGTTGGGTGGAATTGGAATTCAATTCCCATTCATAATGGAATGACATTCCCTCAATTAATTCTAATTTTTATTTGAATCAAACAGGCGGAAGGAATAAATCATTCCAATTTCAATTCCGATTATAAATCAAGCGGACTCCTGTAATGTATTATATACATGTTTGCCTGAAATACTTAGCCAGACTTGGACATGTTTAAGGTCAACCCAAGCCCAACCCTAAGAATTGGTGTTTAAGGTATGGGCTTGAGGTAAAGCTTGATTAATTCAAACAGGGCCCAAATCAAATTGAAATTTGACATATTCGGATCGTCCTAGAGCCAAGCCCGGCTCAGGTTGGTCAACCGAACTTAGGTGGGCCTATTAGGCCCAATGTATAAAAATCTCATATGAACCTATTTAATATGTATTTATCTATATATGTGTATGCAAGTTTATAGTAGGGCTCACGGTACCTAAGGGCTAGGGCTAAACCAAGCCCAAAAAAAGGAAAGCCTAGGGTTTTGGGTCCAGACCGAGCCCAAAAACAAAAAATCCAAGTCAAATCCATCATGCAAGATTGATGATTTCGTCAATCTATCCGGTTGAAATTACCCAAAGTTACACTCCTAGTTGATAGTTCCACCATAAACACTTGCTTGGGAGCGAGAGTGGTGATTAGACCTGTTCATGGGCCGAGTAGCCTGATGGGGCAGCCTGGCCCGTTTTAAGTCGGGCCTGAACATGCATTTTAAGCCTATGGGCTCAGGTTCGGGCTGTCTCAAAAAAGACCAGCTGGAGCCTTATATGTTTATATATTTTATATAATAAAAATGTATATATAATATGTTTTTTCTTTGTTCATCTTCTCTTTTTTCAAGTAATAGTGAGGATTTTCATTATTTTTAGGTTTTGAGATCTTTTAATATAAATAAAGAAGCTTATTGTTGAATAAAAAAATATTTTTTTTTTCAAATTTTTTATTGGCTCGAGCTCAAGCCTGAATATATTCTATTAATATATAAACAAAACCCGGCCCGACCCGTGAACAAGTTTAGTGGTGATCATGGGTCATGCCAATGCTTTGTTGTGTCCAAAGTTCATTTACCACCCCAAGCACTATATCAACTTTAAACCTATTTCACTTAAAAGCTCAATAAAAAGGCCACTTTATGGAAGAAAGAAAGATGACCAAAGACTATGTGGTTACGAACTCCTCAGCATGGGAGGCTAGCGAGGTGTTTGGATCGTACGATGATGATTCCTCTAATGAGATTTCTGG